CGGTCGTCACATGGGATTTGATAGATTAGATTATTTTGCTTAATTGGTTGTATCGGATCCTTAAGCCGGCCGACAAAGTTTATCTGTGAGTGAGTTTGTAGGTTTAAATGCCACTGTAATTCTAGCCTTTTTGAGAATCCTACACAAGGTTTCTGATGTCCCTTCCTTATAGGTAACATAATGGAGGCTGTGAACTCCTTTCTACCTGTGTAGTCCTGATTATTCGTAGTCGTGTTTGTACGAATTTCTTAATAAACTGCAGAGGATAACTACTAACTATTAGACCTTTTTTGTATGTTTCATTTCCTTGTTTAGGTCGTTGCACCGACTCGTCAGTTTTCTAGTTCTATCATTTAGATAATTGACTAAACCTATCTTAAATGACATCCAAGATGAAGGAGCGCTTCCTGCCGATTTCATCCAACCAACTAACATCTATTGCAGTTCTGAAGTCCAATATAATTAGGTGGATATTGAGAGAGTTGTTATTCATCGAAGACTGACATCAGTTGGAGGAACAAAGGAAACCTGGGAGCACTGGGCAGCTGTTTCGTTCTAGTATGGGACTCCTCAGCAGTGCGCACCCACGACCCCACCAGCAGGGATCGAACCCGCGACCTTCAGGTTCCGCGGCCAGCGCGTTACCAGTTCTGAAGTCCAATATAATTAGGTGGATATTGAGAGAGAGAGAGTGGTTACTGAATCTTCGTTCATCGAATCAACACCCAAGTCAACACTTGTAATTGGAATGACGCTATACCTATACTACAGATATGGGAAATGTTACTAGAATTAGAAACGGTGAATAAGAGGTGATAGGAGTATAAAAATCAGATGTTGGAAGTGCTGTGTGATTACACATTGATATGATTATGAGCAGTACTTACTTATGGTCGAAATGTTATCAAGTAAATAGTACTATATCACTGTGTGTTATAAATCATATAAAAAAATCTAATGTTGGATTAAATTCCACCAAAATGCCTAAGTTGTACACCTATATCACATTATTATCCTTCTGATCTTCTGATTTATAATCAAATGTGAACTTCATTCAAAACTACTTTATTGAATAAAAGACTAATTTATCCGGAGGCTTGTGGAGGTTTATTTAACTAATTTTAGGTTGAAATTCATCGTGGATAAACATCAGTTGGAGAGGGACATTGGAAACCTAGGAGCACTGGACGACTATTTCGACCTAGTACGGGACTCCTCAGCACTGATCACCCATGACCTCGCCAGCTATCGAACCTAGGACCCTCAGGTTCTGTGGCTGGGGAGTCTTATATTAGAACGAAACAAATGTTCAGTGCTCCCATGTTTCCAATGTTTCTCCAACTGATATCAGTCCATGATGAATCTCAACCTAAAATTAATTTATAAACCTCCACAAACAGTGCCGATGGGATTAATGTAGCGCTCATTGGTGACTAGCTCCGAAGTTCCTATGAGAAGTCGCGACCAATGGAGTTGGCCAAGTTGAACATAAGGACAGTTACTCAACGACGACCTTGGATGTTGGTTGTTCTCTAAATCATAAACTAACAGAAGTAGGAAATGTGGAGGATTGAATTTCGACAAAGTGGCTCAATGGTGACGTGCTGTCCACGGACTCGAAGGTCATGGGTTCGGTCTTTGGTGGGGTCATGTGTGCGTACTGCTGAGAGGTTCCACAGTAAGATGAAAAATTTGTCCAGTGCTCTCAAGTTTCTAATATTCCCCAAACTAATGTCAATCCATGATAAATTTCAACCTGAAAAAAATTAATCTATCGGAAATGTTTTATAAACTAGAGACTAAAAGATGCGCTGGGTTCAAAGTTACTACTAGAACAGGCTGGCTGGCTGACCTCAGGAAGAACAAATCATGTGCACATCAAATTACAACACTTCGCTTCGTATCATCATAGAACAGAGTGTAGAATGCCAGTCAACTCTGTACCTCAACTTCATTGATTTGAAAAGGCTTTCGATCTAGGCGTCGACCGAGAAGTAATTTGGCAGGCAGCTGCTTCAACACTATGGTTTTAGTGCCACAAACCTTTATCAACCTCATTCAACAGCAGTTATATGCTATATGATGGAAGCTACATACCAAGTGATTCACAATGGAGAGCTCAGTGATGTCTTTGAAGTGACAATAGTGAACAGGAGTAAGACATGGTTGCCGCCTACTATCATCACCGATCATCTTGTTGATTGTAGTCGACTGGATTGGACTGGATCATGCAGCTAACCGTGAGTAACGAAAAGATGGGCATACGCTAGCTGGACCGATGATAAAACCCCAGGCGAAGATTTGGATTTCGCCGATGATGATGATTTATGTCTAATGTCTAATGTCGCACAAACTCGAAGATCTACAGGCAAAAACCAACAAGTTGACAGAAGAGGTAGGATAGTAAAGACGGGACTTCAAATGAACGTAGAGAAGATAGAGGTGATCAAGATACCCATCCACCACCACCACTACCAACAAGAGGCACCAATCACCATCAACGGGAGAAATCTAAAGGAAATTGTCTCTCTCTCACACACCCCTCTACATAGGCACCATCGTTTCAACTACAGGCAGTGGCGTCGGCCACACAGATGAAGATGTCAAAGTACCCAGCATCGGAAAGACAGCAAGACAAGCCATCCTTCAATAATATGAAATAATCAGTGTGGAGATCTACTGCACTGCACTCAGCATAAAACGTGAACAACATCCACACTTTTAACACTAATGTCAAGTAAGTCAGCAGTTCTATGTGATGGTTGAGAAACTTGGTGCGTTACAGAAAGTATTTCCAACAAACTGGAGACATACATCACATCAACAGCTGCCACTTACGCTCACTCGATAGTCAAGATCAGATGACCAGAATATTGAGAATAAGCAACAAGGAAGTCTAGCTGGCAACGAACAAACCAAAAACCTATCGCCTAACAAATACGCAGTGGAATAGAGTGGAGATGGATTGGATTGGACATATACCGGGAAGACCGTTTGGGGACATCACGCACCAGGACAAGCTGTTGAATGGAACGCAGATGGGAAACGACGAGTCGGGCGTCCGAGGATGAAACGGAGGAGATGGTGTGAGGAGGAAATGAAAGCTTGTGGGTAGTGGTTGAGTCAGATTGAAAAGACTGCAGTGAGGAGAGTCGAATAGAGACGTGTTAGTAAAGCCTTATATTCCACTAGGAACCCAAGGGACGAATAATAATAATAATAATAAGGATAATAATGGTCTCATCTTAGATTTCTGAAAGTGACTTTCATCTCACTAGTGTAATAATGTTTTCGGAGACGACTTCATTAGTATATGTTCTTCATGTGAAGTGTGATGGTATAATAATCTGACAGGATGTTGCTAGTTCACTATGAATATTCTCAACGACTGATGTTAACATGTTTATATACTGTTTAGAGTGATGAAATTTGCCTTGATTCTATGCCACATTCAAACTTTTAATTTCTTTTGAAGGTAAACATTGTAATAAGTACACCATTTTTAAAAATAAAATAATCCTATTCTTACTCTCTTGTAAGATTCTCATCATTTGCATAGAGGTTGGATAAATAAATTGATCAGTGTAAAATATTGACGAATATTCTTGTTATATTTGTCCATTTATTATTGAAAATACAGTGGAAAATAAACTAACAGAGATGTTATCGATATAACTTCCATCAAGTCAGACATAAGTTCAACAGACGAGGAGATAAATATTGGTGAATGGATGATTCCATTTAACCTAATCAATTCTACTCTTAATTTTTGTGTGTTTTCTTCTGTGCCTTTATAGTGTTTGTGTGTGTGTGTGTGTTGCTGTACTGTACTCATTGTTGTGCTTATGATCACGTTTGTAGAGTATTTCGCTAAACATTTATCAATGGTTTTAAATTCACTTTAGTCGGAAAATGTATATTATTTAGAGTAGTATTGGTTATTCCTGATGTTGTTTCGACTAATTAAAAACTTCTTTAGATCAATTGTCTTCAGATAACACGGTATCATTAATCATCTGTTCGAACTATAAATCTCTGCGATAGGTAAAGTGAATTCGAAGGTCGAGTAGGTGTTTGAGACTAAAGTGCCTCCTTCACTACTTAGTCATTGTTGATCACAAAAATGGAATATAGCTAGTAAAAATATATTGAAGTCGACCAAATTGTGTGAAAAAAATGAACAATTTATACTAGTGTGGATGCGATCAGGCGGTAGTAACGCATCATAAATTCACATAACAATTGGGCAAAATCTTTAGTGTAATAAAAATCTGGTCAGCAGTTGGACCTCATAGCTCAGTTGGTAGAGCTTTGGATTAATGATGGATCGTGACTAGTAGTGGAATCCAGGATGCACATTTTGTCCTATTTGGGACTCGTCGGCTGGATGTACCTGCTTCCCAGTGAGTGGTGTTGTTCTCACCGGGATTCGAACTCGGGAGCGATCGCTTCAAACACCAAAAACCCAGTGATCGCTGGTTCGGATCTGACCGCGGTCGAAATTTTCATTTCGCTTTCAGTCCATCATCCAGTATAAATGTTAATCTGCTAAACCACAGATGCTATATTAGAAAGTCAAAACTTAGTGCAACTATTCAAGCTTTAAAAGATGTGACCGATTTTCAACCGTGTCATCAAGAGTCTTCAACTGCTGACCCCTATTGTTTTGGGGACTTCAACCAGGTAATCTACATCTCACACGGATCAGATCAATATCCATGAAACGTAACCTTTTACTTCGAAAACTGAATGTCGCTTTACTGTCACTTCGATGAATGTTTTAGGTTATGTTCTACGGTTCAGTTTATAGCTTATAACTGTACATGAGATTGTAGATGGCTGACCTCTTTAATAATCATAGTTTACTGATGTTTATAGTGTCGAAGTCAACAGACTGACAGAAAACATTTTCTAAAGATTTATCTCTGTTATTTAGTTATACTTTAGTGGAATATTTTTATTTCTTACATCATAATACGGTTGTTCGTCTTTCCCTCAAGGCATTTCCTGTTCGAAAACAATTCATCCGTGCACTGTCCTACATAAATGCATATGTTATACGCTTGCTCAATCCAGACTCCTGTGAAATGACTTATATCACTCATTGTGATCCCCGAGGTTAGTGATACAGTTTCAGTTACAATGTCTTTTATTTCCTTTTTTGAAGAAGTATAGTGGGCGTTGCTGATTAGAATGGATATAAGTAGTATATATATTGAGAGGGTGGCAGAAATCATAGGGAATTACCAGCAATGGGTAAGGATTCCGCCAAGAGAAAGGCAAGAGACAAGATAGACGTATGAAGAGCAAATCGAGAAAGAAGCAGGAGAGGAAATGAAGCACATTTTGCAAGTGACAGTTTTAGTGCAAGGTGTACCACATTTAACGATTATTGTCCCACTTGTTGACAATAAAACATTCCTTCCTGCATACCTGTCTTTTGCTTCTTTCAGTAGTGTTGTATTTCTCTCTCTACATAACACAACCTTTCTAAACACTACACTGTTAATAAAGTTAATTTGCTAGGGGTATTGTTTTTTTTTGGATTTCCGCCCACCGAGACATGATTGTTTTGTACACTGTAGTAGATATTTTATTTTACAAACTGATCTTAGAATAGCTTTTGTGGTTATATTCTATATCAGTTTCTCTCTAGTCTTATGTCTACTGACTAGCAGTATGGTGGAGGCATTCTTATACAAACCAATCTTTAAAGGAGTAATCTTGTGCCTTTCGATGCGCACTTTTCACCTCAAAAGTATGTTTGGCGTGAAATTAAATCTGTATTGGGTACTACTGGTAAGGATGGATATAAGTAGTATATATTGACAATAATAAGCTCCAATCGCCATCAACGGGAGAAACTTAAAGACAGTAGCCTCTCTCATCTATCTAGGCAGCATCGTCTCAACTACAGGCAGCACAGGCACAGACGAGGACGTCAAAACCACGATCGGAAAGACAGCAAGACAGGCGTTCATTAACCTGAAACCAGTGTGCAGATGTTCTCCACTCCAATCAGCATAAAGCGTGAACAACATCCGGATTTTCAACACCATCCTCAGTCAACTCAGTTCTCCTATACGGTTCAAACAGAGACTTGGCGCCTTATGAAAGCGATTTCCAACAAACTACACACATTCATCAACAACTGCCACCTACACTGACTCGTTACTCAAACTCAGATGGCCAGAATAATAAGAATAAACAACAAGAAACTGTGGGAACGAACCAACGAAGCAACAACCTATCACTCAACAAATATGCAGTAGAAGGAAGTGGAGATGGATTCGATTGGGCAAATACTGAGAAGGCCGACTGGAGATATCACGCGTCAGGCCAGCCAGGCACTCGAGTCGAACCCACATGGGAAACGACGAGTTGGGTGTCGGTGCCGAGGGTGACGTGGAGGAGGAGGGACAAGTAGATATAATGAATAATATTGAGAGGTCGAAAGAAATCATATGCAATTACCAGCGATGGGTGAATATTCTGCTCAGAGAAACTCAAAAAGACAATGTGGTTGAATGCAATGCAAATCGAGAGATGAGAAAATGAAATACATTGTAGAAATGATTGTTTTAATGGGAAGTGTACAATATTTCATCAGTACTGTACAAAATATCATAGCAAACATTCTGTCCTGGGTCTCATTCTTTTTCGTTTCCCACAATTGGTGTCGTTGTTTCTGTACGCGATGAAGATCCTGTGGCCTGTAGTATTCGAGGATGGAGACATCACAGTCTTCCTCAGGGATTTCAAGTCGGTAGGGTAGCTGATGGGTGTCCGGGATCTAGGAGCGAACGTGGTAGTGTTTGACACGTTGCTAAAGGATAGAACGAAAGCAGCATATACCGGCATGGAACGCGTGGATGGGAAGAAGATTTGATAGAATGGTTGAACGACTGGAGGGAGAGTTTGACAGCCTGCTTGACAGGGAGCTCATATCATCTCTTGCGTTTCTCTGGCAGAATATTTACTCATTGCCTGTGACTTCTTCTGACCTCTCAACATATACCACCTATATCCATTCTTATCAGTAGCACCCACTACAAACCGACATGACTAGGAGACGTTGAGAACGGACTAATAAGTTTTTGTTTAATTTTCTATAGTATGCCTTTTAAAATTATTTCGACCTTCCCTGCTGTATTCTGCAGTTTTGGTTGATATAAATGAAACCAACTGGACTTTTTTTCAAGTAACTCAGAAAGAAGAGGCGATCCTTTCCAGTGAAAACAGCTGGAATACCGCAGTTACTGCTGTGTTCGTGTCAAATATCAACGTATTTCGAGTACATTTTACCTTTAGCCAACCGTTTGATATGTGAGTATCACTCAGTGGAACATTTGTGATATCAGCCATTCTCACTGTAAACCTTTGTCGATTCAGGTGACTGCGAAATATGTGGTTATACCTACCTAGTCATGTCTACCCCTAATCTCAATGTTAATTGAAGTAGATTTAGGCTGGAAAGAAGTCAAAAGTGGTTAGACCAAGACATAGCATCAGGGACCATGAATCCTCTGAGTATTGTGTAGGAAAGCATATGGACTTTCGGTGGCTGGAACCTTTGGGTGATATGGCTCTGAATAGACCTCATTAGTACTTATACATCCACATATTGTCTTCATGCAAAATTTTGTTATTGTTTTATCAATTTTTTCCAATTTCAATATTCTACTGGTTCTGATTTCCTTTTTCGTATATCTGTCATTCATCTTAGCGTCTGGTATATTGATGTGCTAGTATGAGGTGTAGCAACTTGGACCACTACTCATTAGTAATACCTGATCTCATGTTGATACTGATTGACTTGTTGTGTAGAAAGCAAATATTTGTTTCAAGACGCTGGTATAATGTACTAAGGAATACTAATAAACAAGAAAATGTATTACAATATTCCATCTGAATCGAGAAATGAACGAATACTTTGCTTATTCTGTTTATTCTGCTTCCATAATCACTTATTCATAGCCCGAAAAACCCATCTGGCAGGGTCGCCCGATTTCCCCCATTCCTCTTTAATTTTGCCATCGGTGCGATTCTTGAGACAGGTCTAGTGGGAAGTGCATCATAGTGGTGTAGATCTACTACCCGCAGAACGGCTATTCGACCTCAAATTTGCGACGATATCGTTCTACTGTGCGATAACACAGGCTGCTCAAGTCTGTAAGCACGGTACGCGCTTTGTACCATTAAAGTCCAAAGTACTCTTGCAGGATTGGAAAGACCCTGTGCCTGCGCTCACCCTCGGCGGTGAGACGTTTTAAGTAGTCGAAAAGTCCGTTTATCTGGGTAGTTGTGAGTGCTAGTGGAGGTGTGAGTGATGAAATTTTCAACCGCATATCGAAAGCTAGAGTGGTATGCGTCAATTTGGGCCACCTTATGCGCCATCAGCACGTTAGTCTGACCATAAAAGGTGGGGTTTACAACGCTTTGGTGCTAGCGGTCCCGCTCTACGTCTAGCCCTAAACCTGGCTTCTCTGAACTCAGGATATGTGGCGACTCTGTGTATTGGGTCACTGTTGTCTCCGTAGGACTGCTCAAATCCGGTGGCCACACCATGTTAGTAATCCTGAGGTACGACAGCATGTTCTTGAGCATTATAGAGATCGTCATTAAATTGGTAAAGTCATCTGGAAACACTGGCTTCTATGCCTTTGACATGTGTTACTCATGTCGTCCAAACGGCTTCTACGCCGTTCATTGTTTGCTAAGTCTGTGGCTAGAGAGTAAAAGCGGAGGGCTGGTCAGTGTATGATGTGGCACCGTGGGGGTGAAGGATAGTTGTATCGGGTTGGCATCTGCTAGTTCATCACGACTCTCTAGGTGGAGTCCGAGAGATGACAAAACTCAGTAGCTTGAGACGCTGTCGAATATGGGCCTGAATCGAAATCAGTGATGGTCATACTGTAGCTTTCTCCTACCTTCTGCTCCTGAAAAGTAATGAATGTTTCCTTTCGAATGTACTTTACTGGACTGCCCTTCTAATCATTCTAATTATGTTTTATTTTTATCCATTTTGCTTCATAATGTTGTTATATTATTTTGTGTGGCGCATTTCTTGGTGCCCTCGGTGTATCACGTTTGTGTTCTAATAGTAATAATTGATGAAATTACCAAGGGAAGCTATCAGTAAACGCACGTTCAAATAAAAAATCATAGGAGAACAAACGAAGGGTTGTTATAATTGAAAAGAAACCACTCAGAATATATTGCCTTATTAGTACATATTATATTATATTTATTTCTCCCTTGCGTTTCTAGTGGAACATAGGGCTTCAGTAGCACGTCTCCACTCCACTCTGTTCTCTGCAAACTTTTAAACCTACCTCCACAACAGCCCACAAGCTGTAATTTCCTCCTCGCATGATCTCCTCCATGTCACCCTCGACACCGACACCCAACTCGTCGTTTCCCATGTGGGTTCGACTCGAGTGCCTGGCTGGCCTGACGCGTGATATCTCCAGTCGGCCTTCTCAGTATTTGCCCAATCGAATCCATCTCCACTTCCTTCTACTGCATATTTGTTGAGTGATAGGTTGTTGCTTCGTTGGTTCGTTCCCACAGTTTCTTGTTGTTTATTCTTATTATTCTGGCCATCTGAGTTTGAGTAACGAGTCAGTGTAGGTGGCAGTTGTTGATGAATGTGTGTAGTTTGTTGGAAATCGCTTTCATAAGGCGCCAAGTCTCTGTTTGAACCGTATAGGAGAACTGAGTTGACTGAGGATGGTGTTGAAAATCCGGATGTTGTTCACGCTTTATGCTGATTGGAGTGGAGAACATCTGCACACTGGTTTCAGGTTAATGAACGCCTGTCTTGCTGTCTTTCCGATCGTGGTTTTGACGTCCTCGTCTGTGCCTGTGCTGCCTGTAGTTGAGACGATGCTGCCTAGATAGATGAGAGAGGCTACTGTCTTTAAATTTCTCCCGTTGATGGTGATTGGTTTATGTTGGGTATCTTCATCACATCTGTCTTCTCTACGTTTACTTGAAGTCACATTTCGCTGCCCTACCTCTTCTGTCAACTTGTTAGTTTTTGCCTGTAGGTCTTCAAGTTTGTGTGATATTAGACATAAGTCATCGGCGAAATCCAAATTTTCTAGGATGTTTCCCCTGGTTCAGAGTATCCCCGTCTCCTCGCTCCTCACAGTTTGTTGCATGATTGAGTCGACTACAATGAGGAATATCCTGGTTGATAGTAGACAGCCTTGTTTTACTCTTGTCTTCACTTCGAAGGCACCACTGAGCTTCCCATTATGAATTACTTGTCATGTGGTGTCGTCATGTAGCTGCTGTCGAATGAGGTTGATACAGGTTTGTGGCACTAAAACCGTATTGTTGAGGCAGCAGCTGTCAAATTACTTCTTGGTCGATGCTGTCGAAGGCCGGCCTTTTCAAAGTCGATGAAGTTGAGGTAGAGAGTTGAAGCCTAAGTCTTCTGTTCTATTCACGTAGACACCTAAGATTTATCTTGATGTAGCATTTCAATTTATTTGCTCTTTAGCTTTATATTCAACTGATTTCCTTCATTTCTCTAGGTAAATTACCGATTTGGGTTATCAACAAGTCGACACAATTCTTAGCTCCTCGAGCAATCCAATTATTACAGAAAGCATGCAGTAAATACGATGGATGGAAACAATTGAATAACCCTGATTATAAACCATGGATTTATTCAGATCAAATAAGTCTACCAGTTCTATGCTGGGATGATGTTGAACAGACAGCGAATTTAGGACCTGTAGACGATGGAGATACACAGTTAACTGAGGAATCTGTTTCATTGGATAGGAATGATAGTTTCAATGAACAAGAAGAGTTCGATTCAATTGATAATCAAATTCAATCATGTGTTCCTTCAACTCCTCTTACTACTCTATCAGATTCTGGTTGCGCTTAATGTGTGTACAGATCATCAAAGCAATACGAATAATAAATACATAATGAACTTTTGGTTTTCATATGGTTTCAATGTTTATTTTCATATTTTGTTTTGGTATGTGCGTGCGGTTTTTTCTTCATTTGCCTTTCAAAGTAGTTAAGAAATTAAAAACTTGTTTCATCGAAAAAGTTGTTCAATCTTATCATCCTTGGAATTTCATGACGACGTACTGTGCTACTACTAATCAACCTCTTTTATATGTTCCACTTTTCGACTTCAATGTATGACCATGTAGATTGTGTAAAGAAACAAGAAGTTGAATGTAAACTGTGAGATATGATCCCGATTACTGTTGTATTGATGCGACATAGTGGACTTGTTGATCAGAATAAGCAATGAGGCATTGTGTTTACTATTGTATAGAAATTTCTCGATTGTTCAGTCATGTGAACTTTTGTGTACCTTCCCTGTGAACTTAAATATTACTTTTTTATATACATGTGTGATGTTTAAAGGCTCCTTATTTTTTATTTTTCACTGGAGAAGAAGAGATTTTCTTTGAAAAAATAAATTATTTTAGTCATGGGAAAAGACTTTTTCTCCTTCTCTATGTGTTATTTTTGTTTGCATCATTTGGTTGTCTGTGTGTGTGTGTGGGTGTTTGTGTATGCAACTTTTGTGTAGAGAAATGATCAGGCGAACGACAACAACAATCAACCACTGGTAGCCGGGAAGTATTCGACAAATACTGTATGCTGTTGGTCGATTTTTTTCATCCGTCTACGAAACTGATTGGATATTTGTGTCCATGGTACAAGAACGTCATCCATCAACATAGGAGCAGGGATTACTGCGTAGCGGTTCGAGTTGCCATAGCTCATTTCATTACACTAAGTAAAAAGGCAATGAAGTGGAAGATGAAGAAAAGGAAATTCAGTCAAAATAAATATAAGGTACTAAATGAGAGAAAGGAAGAATGAGAAAATGGTGAGATTCAGTATAGCGTCGTTAAGATGAGGATAATGTGTGTTTACATCTGCGACACTGACGTCGGTTCTCAGCCATATCGCCTAGAGCCAGTCCTGCGGACCCCAACCGGTTAGTCTGCATCGCCCCACATCGCTCAAACCAATAGTCAACGATTTCATGCATTGACTCCATGTTTTAGTCTGGCCGCCTTGGGTCTTTTTCTAGTCTGAACGAACCTACTTCGGCCAACATTGTGTGACGAGGCAGACGGTGACTAGGCATACGTAACACGTGTCCCAGAGACGTGAAGGAAGATTAGAAGGTAACGATGAAGTAGGTGGATATCAGTCTGAAGAAACTGTGCTGACAGAGTTGTGAGGGCGGTTGACACTACCCCACTGTCCACACCGTGGAAGACTATTTCTTCTTAAGGTACCTGAAAGAGATTTGTGTGACCACAAAGCCCGTCGGACAACTGCTTGGTGCCTATCACATGCGGCCTTTTGTGTATGGTTGTTTTGAACTTTCGTTGTTTTGGGGCCGGATGGTCGAAAAGAAACGACAAACGAACCAACATCCTGCTACCCGGCAGACCATGGGGCATAATGGAGTGTGTTATTTTTGGGGCCGACCTTTTCTAAGCCCCCGTCCTTCCATTGAGAAGACAGCATCAGCATGGCACTGCTGGTCATCCAAGGGAGGCAGCTTACTGCTGTCATACCTCATCCAGCTAGCAGTGATACGACTTCGGCCTCAGACCTCCATCATAGTGCAGTAATTTACATCAGAGTGGTAACTGCTTTTCGTCTAACTACTATGTAACAGACCGTTTTTGTATGGTAGGACCTCGAGGGAACAAGTGTTCCACCAGCATAGCTCGTTGGGTGATTGTGATATGCAAGCCTGACTACCACGTGAAGGTAGCAGCTATCGTTCGAGGGTACAAGAACTTAACTTTCAAACAATCAGTCGTTCGTTCACACCTATTTAAGCCTAGGGAAATAAGTGGTACTGTAACCCTCCTCCCTCACACAATAGGTGAGGTACATAAAGTGGTGCATCTATACTGGGATGAATTGAACTATGCTTTTTATGAATGGGAACATCAATTGAAGAATCACAAGCGGGCTCTTAAACAATGAAGGCAGTTGTTTAGTCGTAGTTTATTTGTCAGTGTTCCCAAATATCTGAAAAGTTTTCAGTCTTTGTTCAGTTTTTTTATAGCTAGTTAAGACTGCATTTACTTAGGCTTGTGTTCTAGGTTAATGGTGTTTTGAAATATTAACACAACGTTTATCAAATTGACTAAGAATGTGTATTCTTACTACTACTACTATTACTCAGTCGACTTATGATGAAGTGGTACACGTCGGCAGTTCTTATTCTGCTTAAGCCTGAGTGATTTCCACGATAAAGGTCGGATAGATATGCAGTCTGGGTATGTACTGTCGGTCTCTTACGGGTTTGAATAGGATGGTACAAACAAATTTGGCAGTGTATTGCTTGTGTTTCGTTGCATTTTCACCACTGATCACCAAACGAATGGACATTAGTATGCTTCACAACTTAAAGCCTTAAAATGGTGGTAAGAAAGCCTTAAGGATAGGCTTGAAGCTAAACAGTTCAGTGTTTGGAGGTTATATTTGAAGTTGGGATGATAATTCTAAAAACACAGAGTCATTATCAGTCGTGTTAGTTACCAACAAGATAACCGTGATTACAAAATAGCAATAACATGAACCTAAGTGAAAATTGACCAAATAGGGAAAAGGGAGTAAACATCTGTAGGTTATTCACGTTCTTGTGGAATATAATGATCAGGTTTCAACCGAGGAAGCTTTTTGAACCAAAGTACGGTCCAGTTAAATTGTTTATTGATTATATCAAAGGCATTTTTAATATCAATATCATGTTCCATGTTAAGCAGCTAAGCTCTGAGTTTCATCGTGTTTGAAACATAGGTGTCTAGTATAAAATAAATTCTTATTGTTCTGTTCAGATTCATAGAACTAGCCTTCAGGTACTATGTTGCTTTTCAAGCCTCAAGTTTTTATACGAACGTGTTTTCTGTCTAGTTATCATCTTGTCAAACAGTTTCCGCAGCTTTTGTTTACCACAGTTACATCTGTGTATAGTAAAATCTAAACTGTATACCACAGTATAAGTAATTCAGGCTTAGATCAAGCACCTAATTATAATATGCCTACCTATTGAAGATTATCGATTGATATAAACGTTGAATCCTATTCTATCCTACACGGAAGTGTTGAAATCATACCCCTTTATGAGACATAGATGTCGACGATTGCATTTAATTCAATGTATAACACATATCACTGAGCGGATAATTTTTGATGAAATGAAGCACAGATTTCATGATAGATCTCAGCAGATTTCCATTCCCACTATATTCTCCAGTTTACGTATACACATAACTAGGGGGGGGGGGGAGTAGTCAAACTGTGAAGTACATAATTTCATGACAGTTGGATTGTTAAAAGCGTAGAGTGCATCAAGACTTATCTACTTTTAGGAATTATCCTTGAGCGAACTTTATAGATGCAGAAGCCAATCACTAACTATTCGTACTTGTAATATACCCACGAATACGAGACCAAGGAAGAACACATTAGCGTAGTCAGATGGAATAGTATATTTCAGAGATCTTGCCAAGATACTGATGTGTTCCGACTAGCTGGCTAGAGGATCGATTACGATCAGTCCTTCGTAACACGACAGCGTGGATGCTTCACCGTGTACCTACAACTTAGCAAGTCCGATAAAACTGTGAAGGTCAGCATCAATGTTGAATCTCGTCGAACCCTGGGATACTGATTTTGGGAAGTATGTGACACTACAGATCACCCCCTCTTAGTAGGTTCATGAGGACCCTAGAAAAATGCCAGCCGGAGGTAAAAACCCAGTGGTTTCATCATGGGAGAAACTTTTCGGATGGGCTTACTGCGAGAAGTGGCTCTTGGTTGTCTGAACCTATTCTAGAGTGACTTTGCGGAAGAAAAAAACAATCGAATTGTAGGCCAATTGCGAGTCCGATAAAACTATGAATATCAGCATCAATGTTGAATCTCTTCGAACCCTAGGCTATTGTGACGCTACAGGATGAACTTCTCAATAACTTTAAAGTTTGCCTCATTTGATCTGTAGCTTTTCATTATAAAACTGAGATTAACCCAACCTAATAACGTTGAAAGTTGAAGAAAACTACCCTTCTTGAATTAAGAAATCATCTTCAGGAATATTAAGAAGTATACTATCCAGTTCATTACGTCTCATACAGCCAAACTCGAACTGACTTGCTCATCTCCCCTGATGCCTTGGCTGTGCATGATGTAAAAGCCAACGTTCTTAGCCAATTTAATATATTTCCTGTTTATTAATAGCTGTTCAGTGTTCCTAGGTTACCAATATTCCTCCAGCTGATGTCTATCCATGATGAATACTAACTTGTAATTAATAATTAAAAGAATCCGCACAAACTTCCGAATTATATTTAGCAAAATATTGTTGTCAAGTAAGGTATTTTGACTGCTCTCGGAGCTTACTGTCAAAGCGTAACTTCGAACATATGGTAAGGTTGTTTCTACAGAGAAGAAAGAAGAATATTATGTAGCTTTCGTTTACAGTCATCTGATGAATCTAGAATGTGTATAAACTTGGAGCTTATTCAAGCTGCAGAAGTTATATACCAATTTATACTTTGATCTATAAACTCCTGTACTTAAAAGATGTTTTTCCAACTATTCCATTTGTAGTATCCCATTATCTTTTCCATTTGAAATGATGTGATGAATAAATTTGTGAGTATATATTTCAAAATGCCAGTCAATTTTTAACAGCAATAGATAGATAGATAGATAGATAACTTTAACATATTTTATAACTGCTATGTGAACAATATTTAAGATTAGATATAGATTAAAAGGCAAGGAAGGTGCAAGTTAGTCAAGGAAGCTATGAACTTCCACCAAGTTAGGTGTTTTAGAAATATATTGCACATACCAACGCACCTCCTACTTCGATATGTGATATTGATCGACATGAAACTGAAATCAAAGAAGGCTAAAGTTGATCTAATAGGTACACCTTCCTGTCCCTTGGGTTCCTAGAGGAACATACGGCTTCAGTTGCACCTCTCCATTTCAC